AAATTAATAAATAATACTACTTTATTTAAATAATAAATAATACTAGGGCATGCTCAGTATTAAAAGATTGTAACAGATAATGGCCATTTTTAAAGTTTTTTTTTTTCGAGGAAAAGTCAACTCGAAAGGTCTCAATCAAGGAATGTATTATTAAAATATAAAACTGTATATCTCTCTCTCTCAAACATAAATACACGACAAATGTCATGACAAAATTACGAGTTGGTTACATTTTCTTAGAAGAACTGAATATTTTTTTATCTCGAACGAGGACATTCTTCGATATCGTAAAACAGAACGAAATTATAAAAGTAATAGCTATATGTATTTCGCCACTTTTTGATTTTTGTAAATTAACGAATTTAATTAATAGCAGAATAACATTATAAAATAATTAGAGATTAACATTCGATTAATAGTATTCTTTATAAATTTGCATATTTTTTCAGAGAACATATATACATGTTTTAAATTAAATAATAATTTATTTTCTAATAATTTATTTTCTAATATTTTCTAATAATTTATTTATATTTATATTTATTTGTGCATTAATGTTATTATAAAAAATGTAACTTTATCACGTTTAAAAGTTACACGATATAATTCTTGCAATTTCACACACATCATCATAAGTTTAAAGATGGATATATTAAATGTAGAATAGTATCAGTGGAATATGTGTGTATGTGTATGTATATATATATATATATATATATATATATATATAAAATATTGATTACATATATTTAAAAAAATATATATTTTAACGTTTTAATTCCATTATAATAAAATATCATTTTTCAAGCTTCTTTTTAATTTAAATTTATTTTTCTTTTATTTAAATGTCTTTTCATGGTTGTCAAATTTATTATCTATGACATAATTTTCATCGTATCAGTGAATGTCATTTTTCATTAAAAATATTACGATATGCCAACGTTAGTATTATATGACTGAATTTATAAAAAGCGTTATGTCAACTTGAGGTTGCAAATGTATTAATTTTGCATTTTGATTGTTTGCAGTAACAAGTGCCTTAACGAAAAAAGACGACGGACCCAAGAGAACACATTTATCGATGAGCTTGCCGAGCTGATTTCCGCCACGGAGATGAGCTCTGGTAAGACTGACAAATGTCAGATCCTTCAGAGAACCGTCGATCAGGTAAGAAGACAGATTTCTCACTCTTCTCTTGCGAATCGATGATTGATAACAGGCATCATAGGAGCGTGCCGTCGATATTTATCGTTTTAGTATTGTTTTCCCTTCCTTGCTAATAAAACGTCATATATATCGGTTTGAGTGACAAGATTAGGAGAAGGTCAGGAGATAAATAATCACATTCGTTATATTATACTTAAACGTCTAGGCAAATGCAAAACAAGATAAACATTGTAAAATCTCTCTAGAAAGCAAATATATAATTTTCACGATTGTAATTGTATACCAAATTAGTAACATATACATATAAATAATTATTATTTTACATAAGAAATTAATAAATCATATATTTAATTCTTTTTAGAAAATTATTTTAAATGGAAATTAAAAAATATTTTTTTACAGCGATTGCAAATATAAAAATTTTCGATAATAATTTTCATGGTTGTAATTGTATACCAAACTAGTAATACGTACATATAAATAATTATTATTTCACATGAGAAATTAATAAATCATATTTAATTCTTTAAAAAAAAAAAAATATTTTTTTACAGCGATTGCAAATATAAAAGTTTTTGATAAAAGCGATAAAAATTTTAAATTTTAATAACGCAAGAGGGATTTAAATTTTAAGATTACATCGCTGACGAAATAATATAAAATGCTATCTAAAAACGTCACACATTCCACTTGCGAAATTATACAAATTTTTATCGTTCTCTCGGGTCGTAAAATTGAAGATAACTGCTCGGTATTAATACAAAATGACAATTTTACGATCCACAAAGGACATTTTATAAAGTCTTTCTTACTTGAGATAGATAATAAAATATTTTAGATTGACGATATCATTTTCATTTTTTTTTTTTTTTTTCTTTGTAATTCATATGTCCCATGCGTGTACGCGTTTTACTTATTCCCCCTGTTTCTCTTGTTTGTTAGAAGGTGAGAAGCTATTTTGTATAATTGAGGTAGATAACGATGGACAGAAGAGAATCGGATAGAATGTCATTTGTGTTGTCAGCATTTTTCGTCGAAAAATTGATCGGTAAATATCAAATATTGAACGATGTTGTTTTTGGATCGACATGGAGGAATCCGCGCAAAGACGATGAAATATTTGAGAAAGCACTCAGGATTATTGAGAGATTTGTGTGGAGCGAGCGAATCTCTCATAAAGGTCGCCCTGTTTTATAAATGACACATATTCCTGTATCGATCTAAACGAAAGAAAGAGCAACAGTATTTTCGAAAGCGACAATACATCGTAGCCAGTTTAATGAGAATTTCGCGTAACATTAAAAAACTCGTTCTTAACGAGTTCTACTACTTCGACACTCTCTGGTAGCGACCGATCTTTCTTCACTTTGCGAAATATCTGTATTAAATCTCTACACGCGTTCATAGGCAAATTTATTATTAAAATTAATTATATTTATTGCATTGTTGTGTGTGTGTTTATACAATATTTCAGCACACTTATACGATTTATAACGTATTAAATTAAATTTTAGGTTGAGAGAAATTTTTTAATTATTTATTATATATAAATATAGAAGTTATATATAAATGATATATAAATTAAATTTTAGGTTGAGAGAAATCTTTTAATTATTTATTTCTTTTTTATTTTGAAATAAATATAGAAAAAATGCGCGATGATTATTATTTGAAATATTTCAAATAACAGATGAATTCCGAATCTTCTGCTAATCTTCAATCTTGTTGCTAAAAATAACTGTGGCAATTAAACTTCAAGTTTTCTGAGAAAATGCCAATAATTAATAAAAAAATTCTAATTTATGTTATTCCTTTGAAAAAATATTGTCGCTACAGTATATTTTTTAATAGTATGTGACTTAGTAACGTCTCGGATAAAATTTTCCCTCAAGAGAAGTCGAAACTAAATGCAAGAATAAAGCCTTACTATTAACATCTTTGCGAGGTATCCGCTATGCTCATGAGATTTATCATTTATGAAAACTTTCCTTGCAGAATCTTAATTAAATATGCAAGATATTTATGTATGCAATTTGTGTATTACATACTTATTTGTCCAAGAAATATTATATAATAAGATTGAAATTGAGCTTCATTACTGAAACATCTGCTTCTACAGAGATTAAATTAATTGAACATCTTTCTCATAATTTAATAATTTTTGACAAACTTATTATCATTAATTATACTCTGAATTAAACTTCTATGGAAATAAAATTTCTTTGAAGTTGGAAATTCAGATTCTTTTATTCATCTATAATCAAGAATCAGCGATATTAGTATTAAAATAAAAATAAGTGATTCTATTGCAGTCCCATTACCAAAAATGAGAAAGTTTTTCCAATTTAGAAACTCTTCGCGTTTAGACATTTTTTTTTTAAGGAAAAGTGAATGTCTCGAATTAATCAATAAGTTTGCGTACAAATGAAGTTTGCGAGAAGTGCTCGCTAACATACACTTCAAGTGTATTATTACAGTTGTACGTAATACAAATGATCATGACATCGTTCAGATAATTTGAACTGCTCGAAACAGCTTTCGAGGTGTGAGTAACACGAGAGATTTCAAGCGACTCGGTAAATTCGGTCAACCTCATAGATTCCTCGGATAACTCGTGTGCCTCTTGATGGCTTCTTTTTGTTGCAACTCTATTCGCCCCTCGATTCAATCGTTTTCCGATTTTAGATCAAATCTCGCGTATAATGTTTGCATTTAATGCGAAAAAAAAACTCGCGTATCCCTCCTCGCATTCGTTATGCGTATTGTGTATGCGTACGTTTGACGATTTTCTACAAGCGAAATCGAACTCGCGGAAAAATTATATTATATAATAAAAATAATTATAAAAATGTATTATTAATATAATACATTTTTCAATATATATTATATAATATATATTATATAAAATATATTAAAATATATTTTATAATATATTATAAAATATAAATGATTTCACATGTTTCTAGGGAGCTTGTGTTATATTTTTATAACAAGTTATACACAGTGTATAATTCTGGAATACCATGTACACTTGTATATAAAACGCAGAAAAATGTGCCACGTTTTTATCATTCAAGAATTATTAATCCAATTAAATTACACGAAACGAAGTATGCACAAGTCGGTTAAACAAATTAATCTGAATAGATAGAATTTTAAAGTTAGTGAATTCAATTTAAAGAGTGACATAGATATATATATACACATGGCTCTCTCTCTCTCTCTCTCTCTCTCTTTCTTTCTCTGTCGGCGATATATAAAACTTTGCATTTTAAATTATCTCGAATGAAGCGCTCGGCGAGTTAATTCATTTTTGCATAACGCCGTCCACTTTGGGGCCTATTTTATTTTAGCGGAAATTCGATTCGATTTCTCGTGAGAGTCTATTATTATCGTTAATATATTCGCATCGTTTACTCCGCTCGCGAAAGGTCAAAGACGCAGTTACGAGGTATTTTTTTTTTTTTTTTAAACCGATACGCGATTAATCCGCTAACGATACACACCGATAATTACAGGTCCCGGGGCCCCCTTTGTTAAAGTTGTGCTCGCGCGATCATCGGCTAAAACGCGCGAGAGGCAGAGCCAGCAGTTGCATAACGGCCGCTAAGGCTAAGCCCTTGACTCACTGGCGATCGAGCGAGGTTACGCTTCCTATTGGCGGGGACCCCGATCCGGTCCTGGCCTGCTTCGGGATTTCGGGGTCTAGAAATTTGAAGACTCGATAATGTGTGTCGTAACTGCGTTCGCCTAATGGCGAACGAAGGTCCGTGTGCTCGATTGAAATTTTAAGCAGCGCGCTTTCTCGTCCGGTTTTACCAAAGAGTCATATCGGCTTGTCTATTCTTCACGAGAAAAACGATACACTGTAAAAAATTTTTCAAAAATTTAGACACATTTTTGTCTGACTTTTTAGGTCTGGGTGTTTGAAAGAAATTTCAGACAATTTGTTTTAATCGACTCTGAAGTCGTTTTCCTGAAAATTCAGAAGAGTTATGACTAAAAATTACAGTGTGTCTGAAAAGAAGATGCAGACATTTGTCTGAAGTTTCAGTTAATTTTTTTACAGTCAGTTTTTTTACATGCGTTTCTCCGAGAAGATATGAGAGAAAACGTGGCAGTTGAAAGCGAAGCGCGTTGATTTTAATAATTATTATAATAAAAAATTGCAAAGATAAGAGAGAGAGAGCGCCTATAATGTTTCAAGATTAATTAGTTGATTTTTGTTTGTTTAAGAGTATCGTATAAATCGTATTTTGACGAATTATAGGTAATAACAGGATAATATCGATATTTTACTTAGAGATTATAACAAGTATATGAAATCTCGATGCTATTACGTGTTTTCGAATGTTGTCGCTATCTTTTGTTGCCGAGATATCAATACCACTTCAAAAGTCTTCTAGTTATTGATGCTACTTGATACTATCTTCTACTAATCAATTCTAGTTACCAGAATATCAATGTCTCCGAACGTTGTTATTATTATTTGTTACCGAGATATCAAATACTATCCAAAAGTGGTTCACTTATGGATACTCCCTGATACTATCTTCTAGTCACTTTTCATTAAGACATGTAATTACTAAGATAATTACTAAGATATTCTGTTAATTTTTAATTTAATTTCTCTCATATAAATCTGTGGAGTCAATATTTCTTTAGCGCGTAATTATCCAGAAAGATCATGTGCACACAACGGGGGGGG